TATTGTAGAGGATTTATTGAGGGTGTAGAGAACCAGGTTACACTGATTGCATTTGTTAGGTAAAGTCCCTCTTATAATTGTGTCCTACATCATAGAGGTGTATCACACACCGTGACCCCGCACCCACTCCTGGCTATTTTTTTCTTTTTTTATCTTAACCTGGCTATTTTTAGAGATGGGTCTTCCCTCTTGCTCAGGCTGATCCTGAACTCCTGAGCTCAGACAGTCCACCTGCCTCAGTCTCCCAGAGTGCTAGGATTACAGTTGTGAGTCACCATGCCTGGCCTGTTCCAAAGTTTTAATACTGGCAACTTACTCAAATTGATTTGAATGTTACTCTGGGCAACACTGTGGAGGCCATACATGCCTAGAGGGCTTACTTGGTCAGTAGGCCACCAACTTTGACTACTGGGTATATGGAGTAGTATCAGAAAGACTGTTTTAAGCAAAGGCCTTTACTTTAATTTCGTACAGGGTTTTTCTTGGTTGTTGTTATTGCAGTTGCCATTGTTTAGCAGGCCCAGGCTGGGTTTGAACCCGCCAGCCTCAGTGCATGTGGCCGGCACCATAACCACTGTGCTGTGGGCACTGAGCCTTGTACAGGTTTTTTATCCAGTAAGTTCCTAAGTGGGTGGGAGCCAGTTTAAACCTAAATTGCTTTTATTTTGCCTATTTAAAAAAAAAAAAACAACTTTTTAAACTGGGCTCGGTGACTTATACCTATAATCCTAGCACTTTGGGAACCCAAGGCAGGTGGATTGCCTGAGCTCATAGGTTCGAGACCACCCTGAGCCAGAGTGAGATCTTATCTCTAAAAATATCCGAGCATTGTGGCAGCCCCAACAGTCCTGGCTACTCAGGAGGCTGAGGCAAGAGAATCGCTTGAGCCCAAGAGTTAGAGCTTGCTTTGAGTTATGATTAGGGTGACCAGACATCCTGCTTTTGGCAGGACAGTCCTGCTTTTTAACAATTTGTCCTGCGACCCCCGGCATTTTAAAAAGTCCCGATTTTTGGAAAGAATGCACGAACGGGCGGGAGAACAGGAAGGGAATATATGGTTTTCTGCTGCCCTGTGGCTATTTCGCCAGAATATGAGTTTTATTTTTGTTAATTTTATGATGTTAAACTGTAATAATAACAAATAATTGTTGAGAAGTGATTATCAAGAACTGCTTATCAAAGTTTGCACTGTTGTCAGGCCCTGCCCTGCCCCGTCCCCTACCCCCGCCCCCGCGCCCCCCCGCCATGTTGTCCTGATGTTAAAATCTGGTCACCCTAGTTATGATGCCACAGCACTCTACCAAGGGTGACAAAGTGAAACTGTGTCTCAAAATAATAAAAATAAAGCTTTTTGCCGCCGCCCCCCCCCATTTTCACCCTGTAACCTTTAACACAAAAAGTTTTTGGTGTTGACAGATGCTTTCTGGTGTGTTTTCTGTTTATTTGATTGATACCCAGGTCAGGGTGCAGTGGCATGATCATAGCCTAGTGCATCCTAAAACTTTTGACCTAAAGTCCACCCTGGCTTCCCAGAATGCTAGGATTACAGGTATGAGCCACCACACCCTGGTCTGGTTCTATTGCCCATGCTAGAGTGCAGAGGTGTCATCATAGTTCACTGCAACCTCAAACTCTTGAGCGCTAGGTATCCTCCTCTTACCTCAACCTTACAAGAATTTGGGACTATAGATGTGTGCCACCTCAACCCAGCTGATTTTTTTTTTCTTTGAGACAGTCTTACTTTGTCCCCTGTGGTCGAGTGCTCTGATGTCATAGCTCACAGCAACCTCAAACTCTTGGGCTCAAGTGATTTTCTTGTCTCAGCCTCCCAAGTAGCAGGACTACAGGCGCCTATCACATGCCTGGCTATTTTTATTTATTTATTTTTGAGACAGTTCACTTTATTGCCCTGGGTAGAGTGCTGTGGCATCACAGCTCACAGCAACCTCAAACCCTTGGGCTCAAGCTTTTCTCTTGCCTCAACCTCCCAAGTAGCTGCGACTCCAGGCACCCACTCCAAAGCCCGGCTATTTTTTGTTGCAGCTGGCATTGTTGGTTAACTGGCCTATACTGGGTTTGAACCCATCAACTTCTGTGTATGTGGCTGGTGCCATAACCACAGTGCTACAGGTGCTGAGCTGCCACCTGGCAAATTTTAGAGGCCGGGTCTGACTCTAGCTCAGGCTAGTCTTGAACCTATGGGCTCAGACAATCCATCCACCACGGACTCCCAGTTTTTTTTTTATCTTTTCCTTTTTTTTTTGAGACAGAGCCTCAAGCTGTTACTCTGGGTAGAGTGCTGTGGCATTACAGCTCACAACCTCCAACTCCTGGGCTCAAGCGA